TATCACACCAAAAACACTTCCGTGTAAAAATGACCCGCCAAGCTAAAAATATAAATATTCGTCGCCTCAAAAGCAATGATATCAAATGAAGTAGACGCCAAGCAAATTTCCTGAATATAAATTGTAAGTTTCTCCTCCCTTCAACATTATTACCGGAAAAACGAAAATTATAGACAAAAAAAAATAATTTAAAAAAACCGATACAAATTTATCACCTTTTTTTGTACAATTGTACTACAAAAAAAGGTGATAAATTTGTATCCCTTTTTTAAATTATTTTTTTTTGTCTATAATTTTCGTTTTTCCGGTAATAATGTTGAAGGGAGGAGAAACTTACAATTTATATTCAGGAAATTTGCTTGGCGTCTACTTCATTTGATATCATTGCTTTTGAGGCGACGAATATTTATATTTTTAGCTTGGCGGGTCATTTTTACACGGAAGTGTTTTTGGTGTGATAGGTATTTACTTTTAATTTCTGAGAGGATGGAGGGATAGGGCCGAAGAAATAACCTTTTCCGACGTTCGTGTGCTCCCATCCTAAAGTGTTTGTCAAAATCATTTTTTCCCCCTTTTTATTTGTAATTATTTGTGAAAGCAAATGAATGTGTCCCTTGCATTATTTTGTCTGTTTCCGAAGTTATTCTTTTGATTTTTTTCTGGAGATTCGTTTAAATTGTACTTTTTACGTTACCATGTGAACCCTCCTTAATCACAACATAAACCATGTGGAACCCCTCATGGAAATGGGTTGTTAAAGGCAAAACTATATATCCGACCCTAATTCTACTGCTAGAATACACCACAAAGCTCTTTGTAAAAATGTTTATTTTGGAGAACATCAGTGGCGATTCTTAAAGTTTGGCAACACCGTTTTTCCTCCATTTGAATGTATGTAAAACAATCGATTCCATTGCAGGTGAGCCAGCTTGCCTCACCTGAAATCGATATTTTTCATGGATTTAAATGTCGTAAAAACAGTGTTGCCAACATTCAAGAATTGCCACCGGAGAAGATGTACGAATTTGTGAAAAATTGAATTTTGTGAGATGAGTGACTATTAATGCGGCCCCTAGGTATTCTATACCCTGCCAAAAATCCCGCCATAGAAACACTCGGGCCAATTTATGAAGTGCGATACTCGCGGTTCGGAGCCCACGGTTTCCGCGGCTCAACAACACTTGCCCATATTGAGGCGCGTGATGTCAGCGCGGAATATTTTCGCGCGCCGCAAACCAGCGACGCGACGCCCGCTGCGCAGCCTCCGATTTTTTGCATCCGAATTCGCCGTCGATCGGAAAAGGGAGCGCCGCCGTCGCCCCCCACGCCCCACGACGCACGCCTCCTCCCTAATTTCTCGCAATTAAAATGCTTTATTTACAGACGTATTTGCATTAGCCGATTGCCTCCGAGTGACGCCATCCAAGACCCGCGATATTGAGTAATATGTAGAGAATTTTCGTGTCCCAGCGGACCACTAGACAGGGTACGAATTTAAGCATTCTGATACATGTTTCTCAACCAGAATTTCACATAGAACACGATTCGTGCAACGAAAATTACTGAAACTAACTCCTAAAGAAGATATTAACGTTTTTATTTCACATTGGTTACGAGGAATTTGAACTGCCCGCTCACAAGAAACTCAAAGCTCTACGTGAGTCAAATCGCGCACTACAACGGTTTCAGCAAGCTTCTCAAACAAGCAATGTTCATTCCCCACCATGTATTGTTCAAACTATTAGCAATTTGCTATAGCTGAGCCAAAGCGTCAAGATTGAGGTTGCCAGATTTTTATATCGCAAAAAATGTCATGATAACGTTTAGCGCGCGATGTGAATCACGTAGAGCATTGAGTTTTCATGAGCGGGTGGTTTGAATTCACGCATCAAGAATCATTAAATATCTTTGTAAGGAGTTAATTTTGGTAATTTTCGTTGTGCGCATCATGTTTTACGTAAAATTTTGGTTAAGAAACATGTATCAGAATGCTGAAATTCGTACCTTATCTAGTGGTCCATTAAAATGCTTTAATTACAGGCGTATTTGCATTAGCCGATTGCCTCCGAGTGACGCCATACAAGACCCACGCTATTGTGTAATATGTAGAGAATTTTCATGTTCCAGCGAACAACAGAACGTCCGAATTCGTGTTTCTTCGTGAGCCCGATCCCAGTTTTTGGGCTTCGCCGCACAGTGGCTCGAGTCAGTAAGAGAGGTCGGAAAAAAATTGAAAAATTGAAAAGCTTATACAGTGAAAGCTCGCTAAGTCGAATTGTGCAGGGACCGACAAAAAATTCGACTTAAGCGGAAATTCATCTTAACCGGATCTCCATTTCATTTGTGAACGTGTCTTGGGACCGAAATAAAAATTCGACTTAATCGACATTTCGTTTTAACCGTATAGTTCGACTTAGCGAGCTTTTATTGTAACTCCGTTTATTTATAATTTTTAGATTCTCAAAGTGGGTCCATTGGTTTGCTCGTAAAATTGTCTACGACAAGCACCCTTTGAAATTTAAATTGTGACGAAACAAACGTCAAATTTTGCGGTTTTAGTCAAAAATTTCAAGTCCGACCTCTCTAATTGATTCGGTCCACTGTGCGCCACACCGATGGTCTTTTCAAATCGGAATAATTATTGAGCAGGGACGTTGTGAAGGTCAATTGAGGGGCTTGGAGGACAAGGCGCATAAGTGCAGTTTTTGCTTTTTCGAGGAATACGTATTTAAAGTTTCAAAATTACATGGATCCATATGGCGGAAAGAAAGTTCAAACTGACTTTTTGATGCTTAAAAATTGGAATTTGGAAGCGACTTTTTCGCGAAGTATGCATTAAGACTAGTTTTACTTGAAATCATCAATATCTCAATTTTTTACAAAACTGCACTTATGCGCCTTGTCCTCCAAACCCCTCAATTGTCAGCCACGCTAACAACAAAGTTGATCCCCTTATTACTTGTCAACGTGTGGAAAATAACAGAATAGCACTGTGGGCACAGAGCTAATTTTTCTTTGCTTTTTTTTACCGTGTAGTGATGACGTCATTAAAAGCGCTAAGATGTTTTACAACTTAATCATTTAAGCCTTATTACGTATGTAACGTCACAATGTCACCAGATATATAAATGGAGATAATATACGGTTTAAACAATCAGCAAAAACTTTTTTTCTAATTCAAGAATCATTTGTATCGATGCGATTCGCGAAGTAGAATGTATGCAATTTACAAAACTAAACATGGAAGAAAAGATTGTGAGGAAAATTAATTTGACGTGATTACGAATTCGCAAATGCGGAAAGTCAAATTTTCACAAAAAAATCAAGTTTTACCAAGTAAACAGGGGACAAATTTTTTTGCTCTTTTCATCGTACTTAAATATACTTAAGACGAATCTTGATGCACTTGAATCCAGCTTAGCGCCTCTGATTGGCCGGTGGTGCGGTTTGAACTCATCGATGGATGTTGTATCTCCATGTGAACGAGCCGAAAAAATTTGGCCCCAGGGGATTTGAATCTTGAAAATGAATTTGCTTGAAGCGACACGTCTATGATTCGTTTTTGTTCGTAATTTGACTGTATAAGAGATCTCTTGTCTCTAGTTCTCGTCAGCTTTTTTATCCTTTTAACATTCCCATCATCCACCTGCACTCACTCATTGTAACAATAACAAATATCCATTACATGCACACAGGTCATACGTCTCATCTAGCACAAATAACCACAGCTCAACAAATAATCACAGCTCAAGTACCCTGGGCAGGCACAGCAAAAGCACAAGCCGACTGATAAACGACAGCTACCATAACGAGGTCAGCCACGACCCTTACCGCGGTGACCGAGGTGGTGTTCAAACTCTCCCCAGGAAACTCGCCGATGAGCACCGTGTCAAGAAACAAGTATGTTCCACTTCAAATTTTTAGCAAATTCACTGTCGACAAGGTTTTAAACTAGCCCTGGTGGGGCAGATCAGCATACCACAATGCGAATCGGTCGAATGATATCACTTAGGTATCAGTACGGTATCATATCAGTATGATATCATGCTGGTATCACACTGATATCACGCTGGTCTAACCTAACAGCATGTCATCATACTGATGTACGATATGATGAGCCAACATGAAATCACACGGATATTATGATGGGCCAGTATTATATGTATGGATTGCATTGTGCAAAAAGGAACCACTAGCATTGCAATGTTGCTAAGATTGTGCAACTTCTTTTGTCTTGGAGGAAAACCCGGATTATCCATTCATAGTTTCTATTTTACTCGCTAAAAACTGTAAATTTAAGACAAAAATTACCATCTAAATTTCATAGTTTTTCACGATTTCCGCAATTTTATTGCAAAAGATGAAGTTGCACAATCTTGGCATCATTGCAATGCTAGTGGTTCCTTTTTGCAAAATGCAATTCATATCATATTGATTCGGCATGCTATTATGTTGGTCGACTTTGCCAGGGTCATTGCATATGCTCCGCAAAATCAATTTCTACTGAGAAATATGCGAATCCTTGGATCACCTTGAGACTCATTTGTCGCTTTTTACTTTGAGTATTTTCTCGCTTTTGAGTTGCTTTCATTCGATTTGGTATTGCAAAGTATTAACAAAGTAAGTCCACAAAAGCCTGAGGTGAGTGACCAATAGATGCTTATCATCCAACATTGCGATAGCCATCGCAAGATCATATTTAATATGCTTTAAGTAACGAGCGGGACCTCATGAGTAAAAAGGTGTAAGTGGTTTCACAAGCCCTAGCGTGTTCTTTCAAAATTAAATAAAGAGATCTTAGTGTTATAAAACTAGAAATTGAGTTATTAGTGTCTTTGGGTAGAGTTGGTATACAGATATTTTGGCATGCAGAATGTAAAAAAAAAATATCAAACCAAACTTGCATTGGAGCCTCTTTTTGTGTCTGGCATTTTATTTGATCTTACAAATTTAACATAAATACGGTGAAAGCGCGAAAATGGGTATCTTGGTTGCGACATTTCAAAATCTCCGCCCCTATTTTATTTCTTAAAAGGAGATCAAACAAACATCCTGTCCATAGCTTTAAATTTGTTACAAAATATGCATCCAATAGAGAAAAAAATTACCGAACTTTCAAAAAAATGACGTTCAGTAGTCTTCATGCAGAAAATGATGTATCACAGAAAGTTTGCAGTGGCGCAAAGCAACGTACGCATTTTTGCAGTTTCACCATGGATAAGCAGTGGTTTTGCCAGGAAGAGTCCCAGGGCTTGAATCCCACAACGCTTTTACGTAGATTTACCAAACTGCAATGCCAAACAAAATAGTCTGATCAGTGTGAAATGTCTACCGTCATTGAAATCCATCACATCTCATCAAACATTTTCATGTAAAAGCTTCTTTGTATGCATGGTCACACCCTTGCTAACGCCCCCGCGATCGCCTTTGCGTAGGTCTACGTGACGAAAAGCACCGAGGAGCGCTCGCCGCGGCTTCACAACGGGCACGGGAGCATGTTCAACGTCTCCATCATCAACGAGCACCCCGCGCCGGGCATGGGGGACCGGCCGCTGACCAACACGGGACCGGCGAAGCCGGCACGGACATACCGCTCCTCCCTGCTCCGCTCCAAGTCGTTCAACGTCCACGGCGACCCGTACGAGTCGGCGGTCCGCTCGCAGTACACCTCGAACCCGCAGCTCTCCAGCCTGGAGGAGACGTCGGCCCCTCTCAAGAGCCCCGGCATAGTGACCAGCATCAGTCGGAGCACCCGGAACCTCCAGGAGGCCATCGCCGAGGAACCCCTCCGACGGACGACCAACGGCTACCACAAGGAGTCCGCTCACGAGACCAAGCGGAAGGTAAGACAGACACACGGCCACGCAAGAGAAAAATGAAGCGCCCCTCGTAAAATTGGAATTTTCTCAATATCAATGTTTTCTATTTCTTGTAGATCCTCACAGTTCCGTAGTCAGAAAGGTAGGGGGTCCAAGCTTTTCCCCCAGAAACCATCACTTTTCGTGATTTTCAGGAATATTTCACCTCGCCCCCTCCCTTCCAACAAGAAATTTCTGGTCGTAGGCCGCGGCTATGAAAAACTTCTGGCTACGCTACTGTTTGTTCTGCTGATTTTATCTTGTAAGAGCTAGGCGAGCAAGGTGGATTAATGAATTACACTCAAAGTCATAAAGTTGGCCGACTACAAGCATGGAGAATAAATCCAAGGAAACCTGATATTGAGTCATCAATATCATTCCCTTCAACTCCAATCTGAGCTTTTCATTTACGTCACTATCTTCGTGGCCAGGGAGAACATAATTTGTTGGTCCATTTTCAAAATTTCTAAGTGCATAATGTCACAGTATATCCGTCTGTTTTCAACTACTGCTTCTATCGAACCTGTACCTTCGCACTGTACATCTATATTACAAACATTTTACTTCAAAAAGCTCCATAATGCTTGCGCACTTACACCCACGTATATTTTTTGAACCTCACCTCTACCCTATTTTATCATACTGACCGCATGCACAGCAGCATAGTTGAGCATTGTTAATACCGGAATCAATCCTTAATTTGACCTGAACTGCAATTGCCTGCGCCTCTTTTGTCAGTATTTTTATATGTACTTTCACTCTCACCCTCTCATATTTCATCTTCATGTCTTCACTTTTCATCTTCATTCACTCGTTCTATTTTGTCTCCGCTTTTACCTTCCGCCAGTTTTTCTTGCCTGTATTCTTGTTTAATAATTGAAATATTTTTGCGTCTTCACTTCATTCTTTAATCTCTTTCCACTTTCAGCTTCTCAAGATTTCCGTAACCCTGAGATTCAAAGAAATACATCTAAGATAGACTCTTGTCCCAATGGATAATAGAGCCTATTGATTTAGATAAATTCAGTGAATACCAAAAAAAAAATGTAACAAAGTATATAGTCTGGTTAAAACTGTTTAGGAGCAGAAGTAAAACTCACCCATACAATCTCAAAGTAGGAATGTTTTTTTTTCTCCAATGTTTTATGCCAACCGGAATATCATTAAATTTTGCGTAATAGGTGTGAGAGGTGAGACAATATATTTTTTCCAACCTATGTAAACGCACTCTTTCCCTCAGTAATTATGACCTCGCCATCGATCTCTCTTTGATTTTATCGTGATTTTATATCGTGGTATATAATTGTGGGTTATATAACGTGACAATAAGTTATGATTCAGACAAAAATAACTCACAATTTCGATAGGGCTGACCGTCTCCGCCAGTAGCGACTGAATCGGAGATAGTTGATGTTCCGAAAAATCGAAGAAGAAGAAAAAAAAAATTACCGTTTGCTTACCGAAAAAGATTTGCTCTAACACCCTCAACGTGCCCCTCCTCTTTATCCGAGCTGACTTCTTCTGTTGAGAAGTAAATGAATAATTGATTCTTTTCTACCCCATCGTTGAAGTCTCCGATAATATCGTTATCTTGATTTAAAATGATAAATCTCGGTACCTTCTAAACAATCGGGGAAGCATTACCATTGTAAATGTTTATCAGACTAGGAAAGTGGAAGATGTTGATATCATATTTGACGAACATAATGATGTTTCAACAACGCACTTAACCTCAATTAACTTTTGATTTCAGGTATTTATGAAAGGGCTTTATGACCGCGCGCCGGAGCTGTTCCGCACGATCAACAGCTTCGACGAAGACAAAAATCTCCGGACGAGCACACCTGTGAAAAGCAATTTGAGCTACGAATACTCCTCCAGCTCACCGGCCAACGGAACAACATACCGAACCACCGTCCACTCGCCGTTGCTCAACGGAGACAACTATCGCTCGACAGTCAACTCGAACGAGACCTACCGCTCAACCGTCCACTCCCCGATCAACGGTGACAGCTACCGCTCCACTGTCCACTCCCCGATCAACGGTGACAGCTACCGCTCCACCGTCCACTCCCCGATCAACGGTGACAGCTATCGCTCCACCGTCAACTCGAATGAGACCTACCGCTCAAGTGTCCACTCCCCGATCAACGGTGACAGCTACCGCTCCACCGTCCACTCCCCGATCAACGGTGACAGCTACCGCTCCACCGTCCACACACAGCTTAACGGTAACAGTCTTCGCCCAGTGGTGAACGGCGAGAGTCGTGTGGGACGTCGCGGGAGCAACGACGACTACTCGGAGACCGTTCGCATAACGTCCAAATCCACAGACCCGCTGCGACCCTCGGTGACGAACACGGTGAAGAATTTCAGCAAGAAAACAGTGCCGAACAAGAACGGGAAGCCGGAGACCATCGAATCGACGGACGTGAAAACAGTGACCAAGTCCCATTACCGGAGCAGCGATCCCGTTGAGCACTCCTTCCACTCGTCCAGTCATCCCAGGTATAGCTCGGACAACGGACGTTTGGTCGTCCAGGTTCGAAACGGCCGTTAAAATCGCCCCGTCAGAATTTTCATGCGGTGTTCCCAAGATAGAAAAGTTTCAAACATTTTAAGAAGTCCTGAGATTTCTAGAGAATAGTCACACAGGATGATCCAGGGTTAAACGGCCAGCGTAGGAGCGTGTTCTACGGGTCAAAGTAAGACTTTTTTGTTGTTAAAAGTTTTTTTTCCAAAAGTGTCCCCAGTCGCAGCTACGCCCTCTTCCCAAATTTCGGAAAGTAAATCGTTTGTCCTAAATATTGGCAACGGGTTTAAACCAAATCTCTTAAAAATTTGTACTTTCCTGTATTTTTATGCCCTGAATTCGTATAAATGATTGAAAAAAATCGAAATCACAATTTAAAGTGGGGGTTTGGGGGTGTTTCGGCTCCTGCAGTCTGGCCGTTTTAACCCTGGATCACCCTGTATAACAAGTATCAGATGAATAAAAAATGGGAAATGTAGTCGACAAAAGCCATGGATGACATTCATTTTAAGAGAGGTTTTTCCGTTTTTCCGAAATAATTATTCTCTGAGAATTGTCCTTCTCATTTTTAGCGTCCGACTTAATTGTTTTCGACTAAATCAGCAGCTTACCTTTAGTATATAATTTGCTCAACTGCAATGTCTGTTTTCGTACGGATCCATGAATTGCAGATTTGGTCCCAGAATACCTCTGAAAATTTTTGGTCGATTTCCATCAGAATCGCAATCAAATATACCTAGAGCCAGTACGATACCAGGTTTCAGTAACTGTGAGAAAATTCCTTTCTCTCATTTTCTCACTATTTCGTACGTTATTCTTTTTACACCTCTCTTCGGCATCTACCTTGTTTTCAAATGTAAGAAGTCTTTCCGTTCGCATTTAACACTGCTGGTCCATGATATAAATCATAATTAACAGCATAAATCCATGGTGTCGAATGCTTGGGAACTGGATCATCATTGTTGATATAGTGCTTCATGTGTTACAGCACTGTGTATCAAAATAATTTCTTTCTATTTTCCTCCTCTGATGGTTTGCCTGAGAATGCGATTGTTAAATTGTTGCGTCGATATTGTTAATTTAGTCGTAGAGCATTTATTTTCTCAATGTGTAGATTTAGTCTTGACAGTTTATACTTTTCTACTCTTATTTATTACTTATATTACGTCATGTGTATTATGTGAGCAAATGATTGTTCTGTTATCACAGTGCCATTTAGATACCCTCCAAATTGGAAGGTCAGCTTGTTCATTTTTTGCCCCTTGATTTTTTTTCTCTTCAATTTTGCTCAGGGCCCCAAATTGCACTCATACCCCCTTAAAAATGAGTCAGACTTGCATCACTCAATTTTATGGAACAGTCATTGTGAGAAATTGAACTTCTGTTAAATCAGTGTAAAGTCAGGATACCTAATCGTTGTACATCAGGCATTACGTCAGACTGTTCTTCGAGAAATTGGACCGATCGTTCTGATGTCAGACTTACTCACTCTTACCAGGGGAGCAATGCAAATTTCTATGTTTCCTTATTCCCTCAGGCGATTCTCATCTCGCAGATAGCAATGCCCTTTTAATTTATCTTCATTTTATATTCGTCCTCTTTCTCTCCGATCTTCGGTTCAAAATGATCCTGGGCCATTCTTCCTCAGCGTAAGAACGATGTTCAAACTGTGCATTATGAGTCTGAAATGGATCGTTGGAAAAAGGATGCATACACAATTCTAAGTCTGGAGTTACGCTAGCTATATTTTATTAGCACGACGGAAGTATTATACTTACCCGTAGAGATGGGGAAAGGCAGTTTATTTGTATACCTTATTTTTCTACGACCCTCAAAAGAAAAGCAGAAAATCTCTAGGAGTAGTGCGGTTGTTTAAGGTTTGCCAAGGCAAGAAACCATACCTACAAATAAAACACTACCAATTTTGTATTTTATCGTTGAAACTCCTTCCCAGAGCTCCAAATGCTAATCATATGGGCCTGCAGCTGCAGCCTTCCCGTTGAATTCATATACTTGCTTTGTTTCCCATGCAGGTGCGCATTACATTGCAGAAATGTTGAATACTCGTTGAATAGTGACTTATTAAAAAAAATAATAATAATAATAAATAAATAAACGAGTACCTATTACTTCCATGGAGACTGATTGACTTAATTTTCGGCACCGTATATCTGTAAAAGTATGAAGCCTTTGTTTGCACCGAGCTGAATTACACTTTCAGTGGCGTGGCGTGAATTGCGATATATTGATTGTTATGCCATTTAAACCTATGGTAAAGAATCGATTACTAAGGTGTTCCACACCCTGTTTATCGATCCTTTTCCATAGGTTTAAATGGCATAAAAATCGATTTATCGCAAAGCACACCACGCCACTGTACACTTTCTGTTGCCAACGGAGAGTTCATTAATAAGCACTCAGATTTTTTTAATAATTAAGGAGCCTCCATCTCTTTTTTGATTTGGAAATTATGATTGCTCTGATTTCCTGTGATCGCATTTTTATTTACTGATAGGCATCTCAAACACGTATGAAGCCATAGTTAAGCCGCACTTAACGCAATTTCCATCACATCCCATCATTAACCATGAATACTTGTAACTCATTAATTTATCCTCTGCTTTTTTAAAAATTAAAAACTTTCAACGTCACTGTCAAAACATCACAGGAGCTTATCTATCAAATCTATGTATCACAATTTTTATTCTATAACATTCTAAAAAATGCTTACCGCCTTTCATTGCTCAACAAATATTTTTTTGTTAAAATCCCAGTCATTTTGATTAAGAAAAATAAATCCAAACGCATTAATCAGAGACTTCTTCTTCTCTGCTGTTTTCTTTAATTTTAATCGTAGCTGTTTTAGCTTCATTCATTTTCTTCTGGCTTTATTTCTAAATCTTAAGATGCGTCTAAGTCAAGTCATATCCAGTCATTTATTTCATAAGTTAGGTACGTTTCTACTTCACTAATGATTTAACGTCCACTAATTCAAAGTACATGTAAAAATCTACACATTTCTAGACTTTTTGATGTATTTTTTAATTTTAGTACCTAAAGAAATTTTTAAAAAATATTAATTGATTGTATTTTGTATTTGTATATTTGAAGAAATAAAGTGTTTGTAAAGTCGCAAGCTAATTTGTATTCTTGTTGAGAATATTTAGTTCCTATCTCAGTGCCTTCAAAATCCAATCAAGCTGAGATTGGTGAAAAATTACCATTTCTTTTTTCCCCCTTTAATCTGAGGCTCAAATTCTAGCGGGAGGCAGAATTGGAACACCACACAATAAATACTCAAATCACGGGACGTTTCGACTCGTACTTGTACTCGGTCTCCCGGTCATTATCAACCGTCAAAAAGAATTAAAAATCTAAAAAAACAAAAGCTAAAAACAAAGTTACCGGTCCCTGGTCATGGCGGCTAGAAGGCAAGTATATTCCAACCAAGCCTCCCGGAAAAACAAGTGAACTTTAATGGAGATGTTGCATGTGTGAGGAATTTGCGATTTGACTGTTGATTCTTATGTAAAAGTTCGCAAGAAACACGATGTGGCCACTGGTTTTCTCTGAAATCAACTCTCAAGCTCAAAAAAAGCTCTCAAGTTGAGGCCAAAATGGAGGGGATATCCCACGCTATCCTGAGAGTCCACTTCTACATCAAGACGTACTCTCCATGCAAAGATAGAGAGCAAATACATTAGCAGGGATGCCGTGTTTTCAGTTTTAGAGTCCCCAAATAAGGTGGCAGCCCTGTCAATGTATTTGCTCCCTATCTTTGTATGGAGTTGATGTAGAGGTGGACTCTCAGGATAGCGTGGGATGTCCTCTCAATTTTGGCCTCAACTTGAGAGCTTTTTTGAGCTTGGGAAATGATTTCAGAGAAAGCCAGTGGGACCATCGTGTTTCTCTCGAACTTTTACATGAGAATCAACAGTCAAATCGCAAATTCCTCAAACATGCAACATCTTTATTGCTATTTCGCCCACACGAGGGCAGCCGGTGACTGCGTTAATGAAAATATACATGATATATACAATATACTTTTACGGTACTTTAACTATGGTAATGGTGGGCGCGGTAATAACGTTCTTTATGAATGAATTCAAATTTTCCACCCATGGGAGAGAGATTAATTTACTTGGGTCCGATTGCACACTAAATGCTGTCACTATGACAGTCTCAGCAATATGGAAATATGGCAACCTCAATCTTGACGCTTTGGATCAGCTTTTAGCAAGCTATCCACCCTTTAAACAACACAGGGTGATAAAGAAACAATGCTTGATTAAGTAGTCTGCTAAAACCATTGTAATGCACGATTTTACTTGCGTAGGGTATTGTTTTTCTTGTGACCGGGCAATTCAAATTTCCCGTAAACAATGTACAATGAAAACGTTAATATCTTAGCCAGGAGATGATTTCAGTGGCTTTCGTTGCGCGAATCGTATTTTACGTGAAATTTTGATGAGGAATCATGTATAAAAGTTCTTAAATTCGTACCTTTTTTAATGGTCCATCCAATCTAAGAAAGCAAACGTAGAGAACTTTTCTAACTTTTCTGGGAAAAATATCATATCGGGAGAAATGATGCAACGTTGGAATGCTCCCATGTTGTCGAAACCCAAGGTGGACATTTAAAGCCCCAACATTCGAGGCGATTATTCTAACGCGAGTTCAAAAAATCATGCAAAACACAGTGTGACCGGCGTTGAACGCATATTAGCGCCTGCAAGACTGGTTGAATACTTCGCGCATTGCGCCAAACAGTGCGGTCGGCATCAAATGCATATCAGCGCCCACAAGACTGCGTGAATACTTCTCGCATTGCGCCGAATGCGGTGCAGTCGGTCAGTTGCCGTGAAGCGCATATTAGCACATCCCCGTTTCCCAGTTCGAGAACTGGTCTATGTTTTTGCGCAGTCCGTCGCTGACCGGTCTTAATTATTGTAAGTCTGAAAATACGCCAACGTTAAGAATAGCTGCAATTCACACGCTGAACAACGAATTCCCCCCCACCGATTTATTCCTGACGAATAATTATTCTCGAGATTTCAAACAAATTTTGAAATTATCAAAATAAAAACCAATAAAATTTATTCAAATTTATAGGTCACGTAAATCAAGTTTTCAATCAATTTTTTCAATATATTTCAGGAGAATTTAATAAAAAAAAATTTACGAGTTCTTTGTACAAACTCGGCATCCGGGTAAATGATACCGATCATTAAGAATCCGTTTTATCGACACGATCTAAATTTCAGAGCTCTTAGGTATTGAAAAGATAAATTATTAAATCAAATTATTATATAATTAACGCTTTAAAACGGCTCAATTATTACGATTTATGACGTTTTTCTCGTGTTTCCATTTCTGGCGCCACTCAAACTTAAAAAATTATTCGGTAGTTTAAACTAACTAGAGGAATCACCTGTATAATTATTGACAATCCACACTCTATTTAATTTTATTTTAGATAAATTCATACATCGCTGTCACGCATAAATTTAAGTCTGTCTTTTTAAGAATTACCGTTTCAATTATTGGTCTTAGATCTCTGGCCTCGTGTCGCGCTAACTGATAATACTCTACCTATGTAGATACTCTGTTATTAGAGTCCTACAACTGACGAGTTCCGTTCATGTCTCAAGAAGTATGAGAAAAGCGGAAGTGCCTTCAACTTATGAAGTTACCGACGTTTATGAAGTGAGAGAAAGTAACCAACATTTTGTGTCAATATGCATATTACAAAATGTCGGCTATTTCTTCTCACTGTGTAACTAAACGTATGTAGTACGTATAGTTGCGGTTGACCTTAAAAAAGCATTTGACACAGTTCGATTTGATCTGCTAATGTATAAACTAAAACGAATAGGATTCAGTGAGAAATTTTGTAAATGGCTAGAAAGCTACTTGGTGGGGAGGACTCAGTACGTTGAAATCCAAGTTGGTAATAAGAAATTCAAATCAAAGAAGTTGTTAGTACTGGGTGGTGTTCCACAGGGATCTGTGATTGCTGCAATTCTATTTATTTTATTTGTTAATGATATAGCTACATATTTTAAAAGGAAGATTACATTGGAAGCTCTAAAATCATTACTCTTAATCCTACTATTCGCTGATGACATCCTAATGGTTGTCCGCAGTCAATGTCTAGAGAATCTCGAAAAAGACACCTATGTACTCATGAATTACTTACTTCAATGGTGCAAAATTAACTTCCTGAATTTTAATGAAGAAAAGACAGTATTTATGCTGATACATACTAGAATTAAATGTAATTGGAACTTCAATATATTCGTAGATGAAAGGCAATTAGAAGAAGTAAACGCACTAAAATATCTTGGACTCTATCTTGATAATAAATTAAACTTTGAAATGCATTGTGACAAAATAAGATCTAAAATAGCTTCGTCAATTTTTGTCCTGAGGATGTTAAGCAAATTCTGCGATAAAAAACTTCTTCTACTAGCCTATCACGCACTAGTCGAGTCTCATATAAATTACTGTATCAATACTTGGTCATGCGCGAGTAATAAACAAATAGAGAAAATCTTTATTCTCCAAAAAAAATCAATCAGAACCATTCTGAAACTGAAGCAAGATACATCATGCCGAGAACACTTCATAAAAAATGAGATATTAACATTACCGGCCAAAATAATTATAAGTTACTTAAAATTACTGGCTAAAAGGCTGAAGGGAGATAAGGCAGAGACACATGGGTATGGCACAAGATATCACCAATTTAGCAGTTTATCAAAGAACGACACATACCTAACAAAGGCATGGAAATTCTTTGATAAATTGCCAAATATTATACAGGAAAGCATATATAGTCCAACATTCGGTAAGCTGGCCACAAGGCATTTGATTGCAAAATGCCCGTATTCAATCAATGAATTTTTGAATGTCAATGAATGAATTTAAGACGATTTATATGTAAATATGTTTATACCTATCAGTACCTTTATTTAGAATGACGTTTTTGTGAAGCCAAATGTGCAAAAAGCAAAAGAATAAATAAATAAAAATAATAAATAAATAAAAATAAATGTATGCTAAAAAAAAAAAAAAAAAAAAAAAAAAAAAAAAAAGCCATTTAAACCTATAAAAAAGGATATCGATAACCAGGGTATTCGCAACGAGCACCTTAATAATCGATTCTTTACCATAGCATCAAATGGGGGAAATGTCGATAATCGATCATTCACGCCTCGCCCCTGATCAACGGTGACCCCAATAGGTAATGCCCGTTCGTAAGTCGCGTGTTTTTCTCCAAATTCGCACCTGTCCCTTTATGATTCGAGGGAATATCGCACGATGAGCCTCGCCGTATCATGATAGTTGGATAAAAACATGGCTTAGGGCTGGAGGGTAAATCCGCTGTTTTCCCAGAGATGACGCCTATGACTGCGCTGACAGCCTCAGGGAGAGGCCGTGCAGTTTTTAACGCTGCTCACGGCTGTGGCGGCTTTCACTTGCCTCTGTTTTTCTGGAATAGTCTGCTTTAGTGCCCATGCCATTCTTGCAATATTCGAACCAGCGAATTCCTTGGTTTCAATCAGAACAAATAAAATTTAGAGACTCGCATTGCTATTCTCCCTATAGTGTAGAAATTGCCTTCTTTCAGAAGTCAACGCTCAGATTCGCTTAGTGATGAAATAAAATACTTGAGGAATTTGTTTAGCAATTTGTCAATTTGCAAAAGTTTGCTTAGAAATTAAGTTCTCACCAGACACCATTAGGCGAATTTCCCGCCAACAGAATTAAAACGTCCGGAAAAAACACAGAGTGTACCCAACTTAAGAGACTCCTCTTTTAGTGAGAACCTTAAAAAGAGTCCTTCTTTGCGTATTTTTATGAAGTATTGGAGAAATGTGATTAGCAGATGAATAAAAACAGACGAATTATACAATGAGAAACAATTTTTAATAAAAATATACATGATATGTACATCTTTACGGCAATACAAACTATGATGAGAGATTGTGAGGTCTATCCTTTGGTTATTCATCAAGCACAATCACAGCAAATTTTAGCAAAAGACGCTCCTGCTTATTAAAAGACTCACCTAAAAAAATGTTTACCTCAAAGAAAAACCGGAAGCGTAGGCCCCCAATGAAGAGATTTATTCTTTTTTCAGCAAAATGATTGCGTGGTCCTTGTCTTTTTTGGACATGTCCTCGTCGTCCCAACCCCAGACCTCTCCCTCGTGGTTGTTTTTCCGGGTGCCCGTTCGGTTGGCCCTCTTGCGTATCAAACTCAGGGGGACCGTTTTTAAGTCGTAGGCCCAGCCGATCTTGGCGAAGAAGTCGATGAAAGCTGTAGTGGGGTTTGTTTGAAATTTCCCCAACTCAGCAGTCCTGTAATCCCACGGAAAGACGTGGTGGTAGTTGTGCCAGCCTTCTCCCAGGGACAAGAACGAAAGGCCTGCATTCTCTGTCGCTTTAATAAACCTGCAAGAAAATGCGGAGCACATATAAGTCATTAAAGTCAACTTATAGTCATTAAACCCAAGTAGCACGGATTACAATACATTTCTATTAGCGGGTAGAATTATTGTCATTGCGTCGGGTTCTTGAATATGCTGCGTATCTCCCACGGAAAGAAAATGTGTTTGAGATTATCCCCTAAAATTGTGTGAAGCTGCAAAGCAAAAGTAGAAGGCAAAGCATGCGAGTTTTTAGGACGAGCAAAAAGATTTTCCACAAAAAACCTTCCCGAGTCAATCCCTCGTCTACGTAGAGAGCCGCTCGAGTTGAAATATCACCCAGTACCTATATACTTCAGTCCTAATAATCACGAAGTGAACATTAATCAAGAAAGGTTTAATGGGCCTGTTGCAAACTTTTGCTAGAGCAAAAATAAGAGTTGTTTCTTGTAGATAATGCCTCAAAAATCATGATGAGCGCATCGGCAAAGTCTGAAATGCACTCATAACTTCACAATCTGCGTAAGAAATTTGCGTTTTTTTAAGCTTCCCGCTTCAAAAACGATACTACGGCACAGGTGAACATTTTGTTAGAGGAGTCGCTCCATCGTCGGCGATATTCATCATGGCCGACGCTTGCGCGCAGTTCCGCGTGTAATTCGAGGAGAGTTCAAGGTCAATCAATTCGGGCGTGGAAAATATGAACGTTAACACACCGATTGTTATCTGGTTTAATCCAGTTCAGGTGTTATCTCGTCCCATCAAACGTGTTTTGGCGGATTGGCGTCGGCCATGATGATTATTGCCGACGATGGAACGACTCCTCTTACAAAATGTTCACCTGTGCCGTAGTATCGTTTTTGAAGCGGGAAGCTCAAAAAACCGCAAATTTCTTACGCAGACTGTGAAGTTATGAGTGCATTTCAGACTTTGCCGATGCGCTCATCGTGATTTTTGAGGCATTATCTATAAGAAACAACTCTTATTTTTGCTCTAGCAAAAGTTTGCAACAGGCCCATTTAGTTCAACAAATCGTTATTTAAACGATTTTCTCGAGAGGATCTAGAAAAATTTAAGAGTATAACTTTTAGAAGCGTTGGATTACCCCTTGTAGAGTACTTGAAGCAGAGAAAAAAAGAGAGAGATTCTTGCATGAAATATCCCCTGATTTCTGCAACTCAGCACATCATATAAATATTATCATTTCTTAACGCCTAAGACTGCCCATCTGAACTCAAATCATGCTTGTAATTGCAACTATTTAGGTTTTACGATGTATTCTTGCTTATACAATGAATTGAGGGCTAAACGACTTCATTGGCATATGGCACAATAGTGCACACCTCTACCTAGGGTTATAGTTTTGTCAGCAACACTATAACTTTTATTTTCAAGGTGATTCAACGTTTGCCATTTTATGTGTCAGAGCGATGTGCGATATGTAGCATCAATTCGTTCCATAATTTTAGCTACTTGTCATTTTTTTCGAATTTTGAGATCGCACTTCTGTTGTCATGAGACTAAAGAATTCATGTACCAAATTTGACAAAGAAATTCAACGTAATAAAGGCAGGGTTTTTTTAGAGGAAAAATATCGAATTCGATATTGAAACTGCACTCGAATGCGATATTTTTCCCCTGAAAAAACCCTGCTTTTATTACGTTGAATTTCTTTGTCAAATTTGGTACATGAATTCTTTAGTCTCATGACAACAGAAGTGTGATCTCAAAATTCGGAAAAATGACAAGTAGCTGAAATTATGGAACAAATTGATGCTACATATCGCACATCGCTCTGACACAAACAATGACAACCGTCGAATCACCTTAACACGTCTAGAGACAACTGTTGATGTGCATTGTGCACCCTTTCGAACTAACTTTACAATCTACTTACTTGTCGTATGGACGTTGGCCCCAACGATGGGCACCGCTATTAACCAGCCAAATAATGTTCAAGACGAACGCATACCGTACTATAGCCACATACCACGCATTTTTCCATGTTTCCTCCCAGCAGTAAACAGGAACCACCGTCGGAATGATGAAACAGAATAACGTCACCATTTTCAGGAAGTGCCTGCGAATAGAAATTCGACATTTCATTATATAGCGTGCGTCTGATGAACAGACCAACTTTGCATTTGGATGGCGTCATCCAGGTTGGATGATCCAGCATCAATCGAACTATATCAGATGTTCACTAATTTCATTTTTTTTTTTCATACTCTTATTTTTGTTCTGCCAAACTTTTTTTCGAAGCTGGTTTTCGTTTTGATGAAGGGAGCTTAGCTTAGCTAATTGGAATTTTTCCGGGAAATTTTGTGAATTATAAACATTTAAACCATTCACTTGTATAATATGCTGTGTTCGGGCATTTGATTTGGTTTGACATCATCCAAAGTCTGTTCTGGAATGTGAAAGTATTAGGGTCTGACATTTCCCCATCTCCTTCGATTGTCTACATTGTTTTTCGTTGTTTGGAGTAAAATCAACGTGAATGCGCTAGTATTTATTTCATGCCACCGAACGATCGACTTGTCACTTAGATTCTCTCCCCCCCCCCCCCCCCCNAAGAGAACAAAGCGCCGTCGATGTATTAGCAGTTGTTGACTATCTTTTCCACACTCTCGATTTCAATGTGGACCATTAATGATCCAGCTTCATCGTAGCGTGCCTATCGGTGCTTAAAAATTGCAGGCGAGTGCGTATACCTCTTTTGGAATTGGACGAGGGAATCGTCTTCGAGGTCTTTGATATCGATACGACTGCCCTTCTGCATTACGTCCGGATGTTTGCGACACAGGAGCCAGCCCACGTGTGAGAAGAAAAACCCTCTCTGTGAGTTGTGCGGGTCACCGTCTGTATCGCTAAATTTGTGGTGGGCCCTATGGTCCCGTACCCATTCGAATACGCTGTTCTGTCAATCAAAAAAAACATCATGTTTAAGTGAGTCAACAACATGGTCAAAAGAGGGACCTGAAAGATTCATTATCTATACCATAAGATCCGAGACCTCCTAAATTTGCGTATCTGGTAACGCTTCTTGTTAGTTCCAGCGTTCTACCGAGCCGATTTTCATGATTTTTGCTGACATCAACAGGCAATTGTCTCTAGATGAGCCCGCTTCATTCAGCTTTTGAAAATATGACCAGGTTTTTTTTATATTATGTGGTATAGTTGCGAATTCTCCCATTTAAACAATGTAATTTTTTTATTTTTTGTCATAGTTCGTTAGAGCGTTCTACTGGGCGGATTTCCATGATTTTTGCGGTTATCGACAGGTGATAGTCCCTAGATGAGTCCGCTGTAATCAGAACTTTAAAATAGGACCCATGTTTTTTTTATACTAAAAGAGACCCGAAAGCTGAGAAAATGGCGCAAAATTGAAGTGAGCGGGAAATGTTGCATTTTGGTCTATTAGTAGGATAAGTGAATCGAAGGTATGCTCCTTCACTACAGACTGTCCAAAAGCGACGAAACGCTCCGTTCCATTTAGTTTCAGTCTTTGCGTAAAGTTTGAAATAAATGCCGATTTTTTCATTCGATTCTTATTGGTCCAATTGCTCCCGGCCAGAGAGAGATAGGATAAATGGTATGGAGTCTGGTATGAACATCTTTTCATTTTTTTTTTTTTTTTTGTAAATCTTTTGTCGACGCGGACCTAAGAGAACGCGAAGTGCCCTCTGGGGGTTGGGCCGCGTAGCGGCCAGGGGGCATAGCCCCCTAGCCCTAGTACTGTATATGGAAGGATTTGACCAGAATCAGCCTAATCATATCATATGTTGCCTAATTTTCTCTTGTGTTTTTTTTTCAACAAGCGAAGCTACTCGAAATTCCAGCTTGAAATCGTTATTCTATTTTGGGAAAGTTCTCAGGAAGCTCCAAGGCGTAATGCTCTTCGGTTCTCTGTTAGAAATTAAAACTTAAGAGGAGGTACAGACGGCCTGAACTAAATGCAATTACGCTGATTCTGGGTAACCCTGTGCATGTATAGGTATTATAAAAGTCGCACAAGAACTCTTAGCACTTATGTGTAAATTAACAGCATTTCAATGATTCGGACCATAGATAATTTGATCATATCGCTATTTTCTCGATAATTTAAATGATGAAGATTTTCAGTTTGTTCTTTATGCACATACTAACTTGAAAAGCGGATGAGTTGAGGATGATTAAAATTAGTTTCAACGGCCATTTGGCTTTGTATGCTCCATGTGACCACAATCTATGAGCTCCAGCTGTTATTCCAAGTATTCCTGCTTGATACATTAGAAAACCTGACGGCAAAATATTGATCCCAATATTAAATAATGGAAAAGTGAGAAGAAATACGCATCATTCTGCTGCATAAGCCTGCTTTGCAGGCAAATAATGAAATTTAGAGCTTGTGTCAACTGCTAGAACAAATTTTTAAGGTGATTCGATGGACGCCATATTTTGTGTCAGAACGGCATGCGATATATCGCATCAATTGGTTCCATTTTTTCAGCTACTCGTCATTTTTCTCCAATTCTGATGCCGCAATTTTGCAATCAGGAGACTAAAGCACTCACTTACCAATTTTAACAAAGAAATTCAACGTAATAAAGGCGTGGTTTTTTTAGAGAGAAAATATCGCATTCGAGTGCAGTTTCGATATCAGTTTCGAACGCGATGTTTTCTCTCTAAAAAAACCACGCCTTTATTACGTTGAATTTCTTTGTTAAAATTGGTAAGTGAGTGCTTTAGTCTCCTGATTGCAAAATTGCGGCATCAGAATTGGAGAAAAATGACGAGTAGCTGAAAAAATGGAACCAATTGATGCGATATATCGCATGCCGTTCTGACACAAAATATGGCGTCCATCGAATCACCTTAAGTTTTCAACTAGATTTATAAAAGTACCGAACCGGAAAAACCTGAAATAATCATTATTCATCAATAACCCACCGGCTAGCGATGTTTTTGTTTTTGATGCGTTTCGGCCGTCCGCCCATCTTCAGGATTTGATATACGCAACTGCTCGGCTTTACTCATTTTCCTCGAATAGTGAAGTCTTGAGAACTAGTTTCAGAAACTTTGGAGCAATTATCGACGGTGAAATTGCAACAATGTGTATCTTGGTTACGGTGTTCCGAAATCTCCACTCCTATTTAATTTTTGCTGGAAGACCAAAACAACATCATAGCTTGAAGTTTTCACAGAATATTTTTATATAGACGCGAAAAATTACTGAAATTTTCAAAAAAATGACGTATAGTAATTTTCCATGTAGAAAATGAAGTATGACAGGGAGTCTGCCGTGCCAAGGAAAAACGTCGTATGAACCTTCAGGCGTTGCCAAATTTCCGGTAGTAAATCACGACTTTTCAGGGAAATTTGTTGACATTTTTCCTCCAATTTTTTGGCAATTCTGATTGCAATTTTATCTAAAGTTCTTGAAAATTTCTCGGAAAAATATTCATAATTTTCTTCAAAAATAAACATTTTATCGAAGGAAATGTGGCAACTCTTGAATATTCATACGGCGTTTTCCCTTAGCACGGCAGAAGTCTGAAACGTCGAATACCGAGATACGCATTTCTGCAGTTTCACTATCGATATTTGATAAAGGGATACCAATCTTACAATCCGAGTTTTAAAATAGCTAAAAAATATTCCTTTCTACTTTCATAGCCTTTCTCGCAACATAAATAACATTATATATAATATGTTTAGACCCTTGCAAAAAAAGAAGTTAAAAAAAGAAAAGAGGAAACATAAGAGGGAATAATGTTTGTTTCAATGTAGAAGAGTTCCAATCCTAGTAAGAGCAATTGAATGCCTGGCATAAAAAACGACCATCTGGAAAATATGAAAACCTTGTTTTGTTACGAGGATTTGGAAGGTTGGCATAAACTTTCTGAATCCTCCCCAAACAGCATAATGCAACAAAAATATTGAAGTAATTTTGAATTTTAATGAAATAAAACTGTAATTTTTTTGTCATGGAATCGCAATTTTCTACATAAGATGGATAAACTTTCTGAAGCCTGCCTAAGTAGCATAATGCAACGAAAATATTGAAATAATTTTACACTTTAGTGAAATAAAACTGAAATTCTTTTTCCATGCAATGTCGATATTTTTATGTAATATGGTCATTTAATACCAGTTTTATACGAGCAAAATAATGAATTCCTGCGTGTGAGAAAGGTCATTTTAATTGCAATAAATGTCAACAGGTGGAGCCCCTTCAATTAGTGAATAAGCAACATACACAACACTCGCATGCGATTGCAATTGATTATAACCTATGCTATTTGGGTTTAAACCGATGAACCATTAGACAAGGAAGGTACGTCATATAGCACCTCAGTACGTGTTCTCATGAGAGTTATAGGTACATAGAATACTATAGACGTATTAGATCTCTTCAAAAACTCAGAAAAGAGAAAAGAGCTGTTTTTTAGAATGCCAATTTATACTTTCCGCTTACAAAATACCAACATCTACTCAAATCAAACAGAGCATTTAACTCATTTTGGATCACTTTTTAACGGAGCATTTTCCTGTGTGCTGTTTGATTCACAAGATTAGAGATACTCCACATTTTTAGAGGAAGGAAATGAGTGTGAAGCCATACTCCAATTATTTTCCAAACGCATACGATGTTTTCAATGAGTAACTTAACTTGTAAGTTGATTGTGGTCGCGGCAAGGTCGAATTTACCATTCACAATGCAAGGTACAACCGGTAATTTCTCACCTGTGACATACTTTTAAACTTTCAAAGTTTTCGACATTTTCCACGTGCTATATATAAAATTCTAATGAGGAGACATACACTTGTGTTGACTTACTTTTTGTTCCGGTCCGATCCAACATAAGTGATAATGACATCCGACAAAATGAAAAAACCCTAGTTTAGAGGAGACATACCTTTGAAACGCATAATTCCTACCCTGTTATGTGGTCGACAAAATCGTTTATTTACTTATGAACGTAGAAAGTTCATGACAGCGTAATGGGTGCAGACTGATTTAAATGCAGTAAAGCTTTCTGGGACGAAAAATATACAAATGACTAAAGTCTTTACGCGGCTTTTCTAATTTCAACCGGTCTGTTGATCATACGGAGAGAAGCGAGAATGTACTTACCCCATACGATTGTCTGAATTTTAGCGGACGTGAATATCAGGTAAATGCCGTAAATTGCCTTTAGGTGCAAGATGGAGCAAAATATGACGTTTTTCCAGACTATCCTGACTCTGTAAGCTTCTTGTTTCGAGTGATCTACAGTTTGTTCCTCGATCGCAGGTACTGGTTTTGGTTCGGTCCAAGCTTTCGTTTTCCCACGCTCTTTTTGCTCGTTGAAAAGGGGTTCCACTGATTCGGGCCCCAGCGAAAGACGAGCCGCCGTGTTTAGCATGTTAGACGGCGCCATCGTGGTCTATGACAAATAAAAAACTGTTGAAACTAGTCAAGTCTGAAAGTTTGATTCGAGGAAAAATTATTGTTAAAAGTCCGGGCACGGAAATTGTGGCTGTGACCAGTTTTTTTTTTTACTACTTCAAATAGCCCACAAGGGCTAATCCCACGCTTTAAGTCCCACCCCTCCTCCGTCCCTACTGAACCAGTCCCAGGCAACCATTGTTTGAGACCATCAAACTCGGGTCGCCTGACCGGGAATCGAACCCGGGACCTCCCGATCATAGAGCAAGCGCTGCAACCACTACACCATAGGAGGCCGCCAGTGGCGATTTTTGTGAGTTGAAAACAGGGTTCTCTCTCCGTTTAAATGTATAGGTATATAAGATAATCGATTCAAATACGAGGAGGAAAAAAAGGGTTAGTCTTCATTGATTTCCTGTTTTTTCCCCCTAATATTTGGGTATTATAGAATTTTGTTGTGTAGAGTAGAGTCTTTTTCATCCTAAAGTTTCCATTTTTTTCTTCTCTCTTAAATTAATATCTTGGGTTTTTCGTAAGTANGGGGGGGGGGGGGTTAGATAGTGTTGTCAACATACGAAAATTTTCATCGGGAAGAGAGCTTGAGGGGAGAATTTGGGGCATTGTCGAGTGAGGGTCTGAAGGGCACCCCTCAAACAGAAGGAACCCCAAAAAAGGGAACCCAAAAAACCCCGGATTGAATCTGTAGCAGTTTTAATTCAATGCCTATGGGCTCCTTGAGAATCAAAATCGACAGAATTTAACTCATTTTAGGGACCATCCATAAATTACGTAAGGCGCTTTTCCCCATTTTTAGACCCCCCTCCCCCTCCGTATGGCACCGTAAGGCATCCCTTACCCCACCCCCACCCTCCTCTAAAAATTACGTAAGGCTCGACTGACCCCCTCCCCTTTTTGAATTATCGCAGATCCAAGTATTACGTTTTCTTTTAGAAAAACAATAAAGTTTTTAGGCCAACATATTTATCAGTGAAACTAAATTTTGAAGTAAGTTCATAGAAAATATTAATGATACAATTAATTTACTAAATTAAAATATGTGGAGCAAAATTAATGAATTTTTTTTTTTACTTTGGAATAGTTAAAAGTATAAATTTGACGTAAGGATGAAGTCACTACTCATCATCCCAAGAAGTGAAGAAGTGGGAATCAAGAGAAATGACAGGAGCATGATCCGGTTGGTCAGCAATCGGTGATGTGCCGATTTCCTCTATTTCATCTTGAATTTTATTATCAACCTGACGAAAAATCTTTAAATATAGGCTGAAAAGCTTACGTAAGGCTCAGCCCCCCCC